CATTCATTTTATTAATTCGTTAATATTCATTCATTCAGAAACTGTTTATAATGTCGGTCTATATAACTGCAGTTTCTTACAATCAATAAATCATCCTGAACCATCTTCGATGAAGATTAGGTAGAAGAAGAACCACTAGTAACATTAGTTAGCGAGAGTTGGAACTAGCATGAATTCTACTAAAAAAAGCTTATGTATCAAATTCCTCCAAAATCCATGTTAGTCGCAAACGCCATGCTTGCAGCGCTATGCTCCCGCGTAATCCTAGTAGATTACATAGCGCATTATTAACTCTAAGGGAATTTGAGCTACCATGCGGAGCACTTTTAAAATGGTGTACATAACATGTTTGCTGTTATACACAAGGCCCCATACTGTTTTTCAAATAGAAGTACCATCATCAAGAATGTTACAAATTTACGTAGTCTAAGTACTATTATTAGGCTCCCCAGCCGGGATTCGAATGGGCCTTCTGCTTTGTAGGCCTAAATGATGATTACTTCACTAGTTGGAGACAAGATTTTCACTTTCTTTTGTATGTGCGCGTAACAGCACATTTATCATGATTTAGTTAAAACCAGGGAACAGTGAAATTACGTGTAATTTCACTGATCCCTGGTTAAAACTATCTGAGATTTTGTATTTCTGTTTCGTTTCAAATGCCTAAGACACAGCACATACCGTACTGATCTCTGTTTAATGTATTGCGCTGAGAACTAGTGCATACCCGCAAGTACAATAGAGAGTGGAATTTAGTTGACGTCAATCGGATTCAATTTCCAAAATCCCGATTCGTTTTGGTGTAGAAGGGTCATTTTCAAATTCTGTTTTGGGAAACATATGGCCATTTATAATATCTTATTACAGTAAAATAGTATTCCCGTATTATGATTTTTATATCGATGTTGACTTAGCATTCTTTTAATGTTTTCTCATTTATGTAACGACCTATTTGCCCTCTAGCATTGTGGGTCGGTAATAGTGTTGATATCAAGGGCGTCGATCCGTGGCTGAAAGTGGGGGGGGGGGGACGAGATGAAATATAAAACCTTGGGCCGTAGGCCCAAGCAATGGTTGGGGACTAGGGGGCGAAACCCCGGAAGCTCTGGCGCATATAGCCTTTTAATTAATTTTAAGCAATGCAATTAACATTTATTTCCATACGAAATTTTTAAAATATCCAGTGGCGGATCCAGTAATTTGAAATGGAGCTGGGCCCAGAGAGGGACTTTTACAGATGGAGAGTGTAGCTGGACTACCACCTCACCCCCACCATAGTAGGGGCTGAGGTAAGGAAATTTATGATTATGGCACCAGTTGGACGGAAATGGCATTCTCAGACTGAATTTGAATATAATTTTAATTTTTCTCCACTTTTAAATTTCGAAAAAAAAATAGTGATGGTGGGCCGGCTGGGCCCCTTGAATCTGCCACTGAAATACTCATCATAAAAAGTCTTTAAAATTATCCTTTTTCAGTCATAATTATGCCCGCTTATATATTTCGTGCTAACTAACATTCATAAAAATAATGATTTATTATCTACTGATTGGCTTGAAACGTATTAAAAATTCGAACTATGAAAAACAAATAAGATAAACTTAAAACGGTCATTAATTTAGTCTTTTTGCATGTACAGTACTTTTAAAGTCAATCAAGAGGTTTTTGCTTTTCTCCTCTTTTTGAATTTCACTTTTGTGTAAGTAATATTGCGATAAATTATTGTGAAGTATTGATCTTTTGGACCCTGAGCGCTTGTTTACAAGATCAGATTATTCTATAACCAGAGGCCATGTATATAAGTTGTATAAACAGAAATTTAAACTTAATGTTAGGAAAAAGGCATTCGTTGTTCGAGTTACTGACAATTGGAACTCCCTTCCTAGTAATGTGGTAAATCAGAGTTTGGTAAATCATTTTAAAGCGGGCTTAGAGAAAGTCTGGTCTGGCCACCACCTTAAGAAGATTCGATAATGATTGAGGGACAAATGAGCTTTGATCTCTAAGTCTCGAAGATTCAAGGTAAATATAATGTAATAGTTTCATTTTCTTCGATATTTTAATCTTAGATAAACTTTGTTGTTTTGATTTTCCCCTATTGTGAGACGATTCATGAACAGAATTTACATTAAGAGATGAAAGATTATGACGTAAACTTTGTTCTTATAATATAATAGAAGGTGAGTTTCATTGTCTTTTAGTTTGCCCTTTGTACAACGAGCTTTAAACAATTTGATTCTATCATACTTCTATACTTATCCTTCCTAAATAAAACTGACAAACTACTGCTTATTCAAAAAGGAAGATTCAATTCAAGTCAATTTGTTACCTCTTCAAAAACCATCAAGGACTATTATTTCACAATAAAATACACACAATGGAAACTCTTAACTCTCTTTATCCATGGAGCATGCAGGCTAATAAGTTTGTTGTCAGGGTAACTCAATACAATGTAAGCCTACTTTTAAAAAACACTTTAAAAAGTCACAAACTATTTTATTACCTTGTACAACTTTTGTTCAGCTTTTTAACTTCGTTAAATTTTTTTTCGGATTTTTCTTAATGGTCTGATGATAAGTTCAAATACACAGTATACGGACAGAGTTTATGAGCACAGTAGATCTCCTGAAGGTATTTTAACTGTTCTGATTGTTTGAGTTCATTCAAATTCACTATCTAAAAATGTTTCCGTAGTATGTATTCATGCACCTTAGGAATGGAACAGGCTCTAATGCTCTTGGCGTCACAATTATACAATGTACTATTATAAATTTTAGAAAAAAAATTATTCCAAAGCAATGGAAATCAGTGCACGTCACAATCGTTTTAACCTTTGTTCAACTTATTCTCGATGAACGGGTGATCAATTTTAAACATTTAAGGGTATAATTTACGAATACCCTAAAACGATCCGCTTCTCTACGGTACATAAGCTACGTTAGTATTCAATCACTGTATACTATCACAAAGAAAACAATTATACTAATTGCCTGTTCCACTATTCAACTTTCGGGGTTTACGAACGTCTGTGTCATTATTTTAAAAAGGTTTACACTCATTTCAGCCATGGTGGCGCCTTGGTGCTTAAATATTCTGGTCTGCATTGAATTTATTGACCCCGTCCACATTTATAAAGAAACCTGCTCCGTTTTAACGGGATTCGAACCTGCAACCTCTCGATGTCAAGGCGAGTATCATGCCTAATAAACCACTGAGACCTATAGGATATCGTGCAGGCACTTTCCCTCATACAACTGAATGAAACGTTCACACATAGTGGAGCTCTGGATAAGCTAGAAAAGCTTATAGATCGCAGCTGGAAAATCAAATAATATTCAAATCAAGTGGCTGCGTAGCACCGTAAACAATATAAACAAATAGATAAATAATAATTATTATTATTTATCTATTTGTTATACTGTATATGCAGAATGTCCCGGGTCCGAATCCTGATTCATATATCCTGATATATATTCCTAGTTGTTAATTTTTTTTTTTTTCGAAGGGCTACAACATTTTTTAGAGTTGATCTTACAGGCCAAAGATAATTTAGGCCGAGTTGAAAGCAATTGTTACAAATTACCTGGGCTATTTATTTATTTTTTTTTCTTTGGGTGGGGGGCATGTCGTTAGTTTAATTAAGAGTCGCTGAGCTTTGGAGGGTCGTTTTACCAATATGATTGATCCCAATAATAAAGTGTAAAGTATAGACAGAGTTTGTTTTAAAGATAAGTAATAGGAATTTAATTTTACCTGTAACGTTTGGTAACTATTTTCCTCATTGTATGCGGTGTCCTTTGTATTACTATGGGTACTGTTTTTAGTACAACACGTTTTTATTAACATTGGTAAAATGAAGTTATAACAATACTGACAAGGAACAGTAAACAGAACAAACCAGAGAGACAAAACTTAGCGGCGCATAAGGCGGTTTATATAGGCCTATATTCAATGTACCGCCTTTTAAAACTTGCTCATATTTGTCGAAACACCTCCAAGCTGTTTTTCCGTAAAGTTTTTAGTGCACATGACCCAAGGTTTGTATTGTTGTCTTTATCTATATATTGATGTATGTACTATCGGTACTGCTTATTCATTTTGTTTGTATTATGTAGGGTTCAATAAACTTTAGCTCTCACATTGGTCAAGCGTCTAAATTATAGATATAACAAACAAAGTATATAGTACATAACAAACAAAGTAAAAATTTGCCAGATTTTAATAAAGAATATATATTATATTCTTTATTAGGGGTCAGACAAACAATGAATAAAAGTCCATCTCCACCAAAACTCTTTTCAGGGTGTCTGATGTCACAATACCGGTATAGCACTAATGTCACATGGACGAAATGGTCAAAGATCTACAGTAGGTTCATCCTATTTGGGCATTGCTCTGGTTAATGAAGGGATACATACGTAATACCATAGAGAAATACATAGCCTACGTTCTACTGCGGCCAGCTGAAGTTCTCTCTGATCAACCTTAGCACAAATGTGAGGGCGTAATCAGTTAAGTTCTTGGATTTATTTGGAAATGTAATACCAACAGGATATATATATGGTAATAATTAACAAAACAATGTATAGTAGTTCTTTTGTCAGATATTACAATTGTAACTAAATAACTAAACTACCATTATTGTTTCCTACTCTTCGATGGCCTTAAAGTTGTGCTGGTTCCATCACGTCACTCTTTTCCAAAGGTGTTATACTCTAAATTTTAGAATCTTTGGGAGGTCGTCTTTAACCACCAGACCCATAACAAGAAGCAGGGAAACAACGTTTTGTTTTTCTTTTTGCCAACTAGATTACGCTAGTCTCTTGTTCACAGTTTAGATCTGTCTATACTAAAATTGCACTTAAAATAACACATTGGCATGATATTATATTAAACAATTACGCTGAGTAAACATAATGTAATGCCCAATTGAATGAAAGAAATATCCCTTACACTTTATAAACTTAATAAAATGTTATCAATATTATATTTTTACTTACCTATTATACGGAAGATTGGAATTACAGTCACCGTCTGCTCGCTGTACAAATAAAACACTTGTTATCGAAATCTTCAACTGACAACATTGGTCTATTTCTATAGTAATATATAAAGCAATATGATGGATGCGCATGAACAAACACCACGACGCGGAAATTTAACTGCGCATGTGTAATGTGAAATCTTAGACTGCGCATGAACTACTGTATTGCGTATTGACACATAGAGGTATCCATGAATAAAAAAAAAAAGCCAAAGGGCAGATTGGAAAAGTCAAAACAGCAAGGGCATATTTAATAAACAATTATTAACTAATTAATCAACTTATCAATTTACTTCTGATCATTGGAAGAATGTCGTGGAACCATTTAGAGGGCGTACACACAATGCGTAACAGATGATAATGCAATGGTGGCATATACAGTTCTCTTTCCAATTAAAGACCAATTTTGGGACGGTGGTTTTCTGGTCTTTAAATATAGAAAAGTATCAAAATATAGATAAAGAATAGGTGTTTATTTAGGACTACCAAAATGTGGTCTTTAATTGGAAGTGGTCTCTATTTGGGTTGGGGTGCGGGTCTTTAAGTAGGGAGAGATCAGCATAATGGTAGATGGATAAACAAGTACAGATGCGAACACTAATCGTACATGCGCTTAAAAGAAATTACGGACTACGCATGATCAACAGACCATATCGTAGCGTGACGGTAGCGTATAATGATCGGCGTAGATACTGTGCCCAGCATGTGTTGTTAATATTAATTCTAATGAGTGTTTGTAATCTAGATTGTCATTGGATATCGATAAACCAATTTCATTACGATTCTCAGCCGACTCAAAATTCTCCAAGGAGACTGAGCTAGGTATTCTATTATATTTTCATCTCCGAAGGTCAATCGCTTAAAAATTTAAACGAACCCTGATCTAGCCTAGACGGCATCGGCGCAGGTGTTGAGGACCTGCTGATTACCGTAAACTGCGCCTATCGTCTGTTGATCACGCTTGGGGTTTTCATCATCAGGTGTTCAGCTTTTTTACCTATCAAATTCGTTAAAAATATATGCGTATATGTATACCTAAATGTCAACTATCTCTATTTAAGGACTGTCACAGTCTAGTCCAACGTATTTATGAAATGATTTATGACAGCCTGCATTTTAAATAGCATCAGCTGCTAAATTTTAATCCGATAACATATGAATGTTTACTATAGACATTGCCTTTAACCTTTATATATTCCACGAGCTGGTGCAACACGTGCGGATGCGCAGTGCGCAGCGACGTATCATGAGTATTGACATGGGTGCTGACGGTGGGTGACGTGAAGGTAAAGTGGGGATTGATGATTAAGAGATGAGGAGTTAGCTGGCAAATACAGGTGATATGTGGTGGGTTGAATGGTTCCCCACGGTTCCCCTTCCCCGTAGATATGCCACTAACTCGCAGTACCTGAATGCAGGTTGTTAAATAGTTGTTAAATTGTTGCTCACTGTACCACAAAACGACAGCGTTAGCGTAGAAAACTTACTTGTTTCTGGGACATGCGCGTGTTTCTTTCGTTTTTCCAGTGGTTAAGTTTGATTGACATTCCGGAAGGTCTATTGACCGGTTATATAATTCGGGCTGATGTTGTGCAGAGCCTTTATAAGACCATTAATAAATTGATTAATATCTTGGATAAGTTTATAGAGGCTAAATAAATTATAGTAACTCGTGAAAAAAAATAAAATAAAATATCAACGCTTCAATCCTACTGTTTACCTTGATAAGGTATAAGGTAGAAAATATCAATAATTTTTAATAAAATGACGTAACTGAAAATGATGACGTAATAACTAGTAATCTAAAACAAGTAGTATTATAGATGGTAATCGTGATGAATAAAACATCGTATCAATTTACAAACCGAAAATGAGAATGTAAATAATAGCAAATTGTATACATCTTGAGAAGTTAACCTTTATCATATTGTCTATGTGTCCATCAGATTATATTATAGTGGTTTTATCCAAAACCCTCGATCTCCTCCCGCGGCTCTTGTCACGGTTGTTGCATCATGTACTAATACTTAATAATAAATAATGTCTACTTTGTGCGTTTCGACGTATTCCACAAATCAAATAGAATCAATTAAAGATAGCATCAATCATGACGAACACGCAACAGAAGAAAAAACAACCGGAAAACGATAAAAATGTGATAAATGATAAATCAGGTAACCTGGAAAAAATGAGGATCGATGTTTAAATACCTTACAGTTTACTTGATGTAGGCAGGAAACAGCTATTTGTAGCTCAAATACAATAAAGATAGCTTGATAGGCAGTTCTATTTTAAAGTGGATATCGCAAACTGTTATAATTAAATAATAGTCACCAACGTATTTTATGAACGTTGAAAATGTAAACAACGTTTCCAGTTTTCTGAATGGCTTAAAGCGGCTCGCTAAGTACGCGCGCTCTCATCCAAACGCACTGATCGGACCCGTTAAATAGGCCTAAGAAATGTAATAGGGTATATAGACCAATTCAATGCATCCATAATAAGTCCCCATTTTCGTTCAACTGATTTTTTTTTTTATTTTATTTTTTTTTTTGTTTCTCTTAATGCATATAATTTTCTGGGATTTTACATTGTTGTATTTTCTGAATAGCTTTTTTTTATCATTCTTTCTGTTCTACATTATTAAAGGCCCGTTATTCTCACTTTTACATGCGTATCACCAAAAGTCTTATTTTAAAAATCTTCATGTTTATTACTATTCTTTTTATGATAGAAATGTCAATAGTGATTTTTTTTTTTTATAGGATTTCTGTGAAGTGTTCAAATTTGTAATTACGACTAGTAGTATTGTATTCACTTCTCTTACTTTAAAAGAAAGTAAATAAATAAATATTTATTTGCATGAAACCACGGGGTCTGTCAAGCAGTGCCAGTAGGTCGGCCCGACTAATGGTACAATACGTTCAAATATTAAACATCATCCAAGAACTGTAAGTTATTCTACAAAAACACTTTTTATAGTTATAAACATTTCGCTTAACGGCGATTATGACAATAGAACACTGCACTAGAATTTCATGTGTAATATCTCATGTCGCTTGAATAACTGCTGACGCCCTCTAGCTTCACATCAAATAACATGGTTGCATTTTAAAACCAGAAACGGATCGAAAAAATAGCTGATAATAGACCTACAAGACATTCAATAGCAATTGGAAAAAAGGAATTGAAAACCTAACAATTACAACTTTGATAGTTTTGGCATTGTTACTGTGTTTAAAACTTTTTTTAATTTCATTTTGTAATTTACTCTGTGATTTTTATGGTTTATTTAAAACTTATTATCTTGTTTTGTATGTGAACGCACCGTGTATGAGCGTGTGCCACAGATATAAAGGTGTCGTTTCAATAAATTATTATCATCAAAAATTTAAAAAAATGATTAACTATTCAAAAGAATACAGGAAAGCTATTATTTAACTGTCTGTTAATGACGAAAAAAATTATCATTCAATATTTTTATTGTAAATTAAATATGCAAATTAAACAATTCAAATCTGGAATTGATTTTTAAAAATATTTTTTTGCTCATGATGGACAGTACATATCTAAATAGTGAATTCCATAGATTAAGAGTCGGCTTGGAAACAGATTTCTTTACTACAGTAATTTGAAATCACGACAAATGTCGCCCTCTGTTGGTAGTTTGTTAGTTATTGGAATAAGTTGTATGCAAATTAGCTAACTTCCTAAGTTTTTCTGATTCACGTATTAACGTTATAATCAGTGGCGGCGCCAGCGGGCGGGAGGGGCAGCAGGGGCTACGTCGATAGTATTCATCCCTTCCGTTGCATCCTTGTGAAAAACAAATTAATTATAACGCATTCCACATTGCCTCTGAATAAGGACGAAAATCCAAAAACTCTAAATCAAGCGTCTTGGCTGTAATGCACGGTATTCAACAAATTCTTTTTCGATGCTTCTCACAAATTCAGTAACATAGCTAGTAAACTAGTGGTACCTCCACACGAAAATCAGAATAATGCATGTTGCATTACAAATACAAAATTATAACTTCTCCAAGTTTTTGAGTTAACTTCAGTAAATTGAAATATTTTCCCTATTGTCCTTTTCTTACCTGTGCTTATAAAACCAAGTGTATAATTTTTGTTTATTTTACTATTCTTTTTTTAATATTTTATAAATAAATACCTTGTAGGCCTACTTATCTAATATAAAAAAGTTACTTTTTTTTGTTGAAACTGTGACCCTAATTAATCCTGAGTAACTTTTGACAAATATTATTTTAACTCTGTTTTAGCTATCTCGCAATCATCTTTTTCTACTCGATCGTACTTTTGAATACTTGTCCTTTCGTGTTTTCTCTTTGCATACACGGCAAGCAACAGGAACACGGCTGAAATCAGGTACAGTGTAGTACAGATGAACCAGGGCATGACGTAAGATCCGGTATTGTCAAACAAAGTGTCTAAGATAAATAGCAAAAAATAGCTTCATTAGCATATAAATCGAGCACTACCAGACATAGAATTGGGATCAAATCCCGATGATTGTGTATTTTATATATACAAAAATACACAGATCCATATATATCTAAAAATATATATAATGTATATATATATAGTGTATACATATATAGTGTATACATTATGCTTTATTGTTCGTATGAAATGTGTGCTTTGCATAATGGCTTGCACACAAGTTACACTACTTTATCAATCGTTAGGCCTACCTGTGAGATAAGGTGTGATAAATGTCCCGGCACCAAACGCCATATAGATTAAAGCGACTGCTTCAGACCGAGTCTCATCAGAGGATATTTCCATTGCAACGGAAGGTAGCAAAACATTTAGAATTGCACGCGGAACACTCATTACTGAAATTAAGACGTTAATAAAAAGTTATGATATAGAACATAACTATGTCGTCCACTTATTAAGTCTAACTTAGGCCTATCTCTGAGCTTATTTTTAGGCTATCTCGTTGATGCAAGCACGCAAGTTAGGCAATCTCGTATAATAAGGACAAAAGTCTGTTTCAAAGCTCAAGACATACAGCCATACTGCGTTTGATATATGTTTGCATTGTAAGTCAACATGTTGTAGAAGAAATTGTAAATGCCTGTGGCGGATCCAGGAATTGGAATAGAAGGGACAGGGAGGAACTTTCACAGACGGAACCCAGCATGGGTAGGGCTGAAGTAAGTAAAATTCTGATTACGGCATTTCTAGATGGCCGGAAATGGCACTCCCAGATTTTTGACTATAATTTTCTTTGCTTTTTCTCTTTTTATTTTATTATATTGGTGAAAAGAATTAGGGGGTCTTCCCCTTGATTCCGCCACTGATATACCATAAATTTAAGAACGCTTACTAATCAATGCTGCTGTTAAACCACTTGATGACGATATAAAAGGTAAAGCGACTGAAGGTGCTGCAGCAACAACGTTACTTAAAGCGTATTGGAAAGTCCTCGATATCGGCAATCCATCCGAAAATACGGCAGCTATTATCCTTCCAGTAAGATCACCTATGCCCATCCAAACTATAACTAGAGCTATATGATCGTTATCCATTCCTGCTTCAAACAGAAAGTTGCCCTACAATAACAGAAACATGTAAAATTGTCTTGTTATATTGCAAGTATATTAAAAGGCAATAAACAAAAGTAGGCCTATATTGTATTTATATTATTGCACATTTTTGTATAGAACCTGAACGGAAGTTGATTTTCTATATGTTTTAAAAAACATATAATATTATAATTTATATAACGACTACTGTATACAAAAGTCAGAAAAAAATTAAAAGAATTCCATGTATTTATTATTCTACAAACTTGGACCGCTGTCAAAAACTGCTAACACTAATCATATACAAATACTGCCTTATGATTTATATTAAGATTATATAGGCCTATGTGTTTATATTATGCATATAAAAATATAAATGATCGAAAACAGTTATCAGATTTATCGTATCGAGCATAGCACTTAAACGGAAAGTTTTTGTCAATGGTTGAAAACATGCTTTTGGCTTAGGCATATTATGTGCGTATTATATTTATCGACATTGCGAACCTTTATAAAAAATACAGTATTACTTACAACGCTGATGTATGTAAACATTGTAGCAGTCGCCGCCAGCAAGATACCAGGTAAAGAAATGGTAAAATCTCTTCTTTTAAGCACAGCAATATATTTTGCTATGCAAGATTTGTTTCTTATTAAATCAACTTCAAATTTTGTGTCCATCTTTTTTTCCACCGCATACACTTCTTTATTGCTATGTGTCTGTGTATACGTTTCAATATTGTCGCCATCTTTAGAGCTATCACAGATAGGCCCACCGCTGCATTTATCGTTTTCGTATTTTTCGCATGCGATGGATAGTTTTACATGCGTTGGTTTCATATCTATCATTACTAGTCCAGTTGAATATCCAACTAATGCCAAACAGCCACTGATTATTCTCAACGTATTACGCCATGAGTACTTTTCATACAGCCACTCAATCCATGGTGCAGCTAGAAGGCCTGAAAGAGTGCATGATGATAACATGTATTATTTAAATAAAAGTTAAGCAAAACAATGTCGCTATGTTTCGAAACCTTTTAGAAGTAAACGTCATATCTTTGATTTTTTTCGTGGCTATATCCTCAAGTGACAACAAAAACATAACTCGCACTGCCAAAACAACTGGTCAATCAAATAGGGCCAGCGCACGGCTTATTTTTTCCCCATAGAGTTAAATCCGAAATTCTAGAGGGCGCTATTTAATGGCATTTATGTAAATTGAACATGAATACGCATACTTGACTTCTCTCGCGAATCGCGAACTGAGTAGTGGTCGCTTCTTGTGGAAGAATATGAAAGCTGCGGCATTCAGTAGGGTTAGGGTAGGCCAATATCTCTGGTAATTAACATTAAAAATCATGGTCTTTGATAGTATAAAAAGCAATACGTTGAATTTGTCGGTTGAGTAGTATTAGTGTAAAGATATACATACAGTAGCTGCTAAGTACTACTGATTCTGAAGAATATAAACGTTTAAAAATGCTCTGACAATTTTATGTATTAATGTTGAGTTTTACAAATATTTCGTTCATATGCAATATGAATAAAGTAAAAGGCCTAAATTTATAGCAATCATAGGCCTATATATAATTAAATTTTACCAACTGATACTCTAATACTGACTACAGTATATGACTTACTGCTTATATGTGTCTGCCCAATAAAAAATATTAAATAGTGCATTTAAAACGATTCAAACAGATGGAGGTAAAACACTGTTTTCACTTATTTACAGACGGTTCTACTAAATCCCTAAATTTTACCAGCCAATATGCAAAAAATATAGATTTTATTAACTGTATGGGAAAGATAATGCTGGCCGGCCGAGATTGGTCCGCGTGTGGTTTGAACTCCTGACCACAACTTCATTCAATCAGAATGGAAACCACTGAGCCAAACAGCCTGCTTACGTAAAGCCCTGTCCAGGTTATCAGATTTTATTTGACAAAAACATGTGACATGCCTAAATATGGTCACGATGACATCACATCATGACCATATATAGGCACATCATGACTATATATGGGCCCTTCATGAGTATATATGGGCATACAACAGTTTTTTTTTTGTTTTTTTTTTGTCAAAGAAAATGTGATAGTGTGAACAGAGCTTAAGTTTGTTAGTTAAAGCAAAGATAATAAATAGCAGAAGATAGAGCAGCTTCCCAATAAAGTGGAACATCCGTTCCAAAGGCATTGTGAGTACACGGAGAGCAATTTTACCCAATCCGCGCGGCGGCGCTAAATAGTAATAATAAATATTTTGAAATAAATTCATTTGGATCCAAATATAATATGTATGAAATTTTTCATTAGTGTTGATCCAGCAAAATAAAAAACAATAGTACTCACACAAAATAAAAAACAATTGTACTCACAAATTTCATACAAAGTAATAATAAAGGCGCCACTCTGGTTCGTTTGTTTCCTGTAGTTTCTCTACTCAGTAAAATATTCAAATTTTACCCCATTCGCGGGAGGGCGGATGTTCCCATCAATTTTAATGCAAATACGCGGAACAGCTCATTCTTCTGCTATTTAAGTTCTTTGGTTAAAGGGCCGTGGCCTAGTGGTACGGTCCAGTCCATATTTACAGTAAATTTAAGGGGCGTTTTTTTTACACACACAAAAAAATGAACGCTTCCCTCGAATAAAATCCCTCTCAAAAACCCGCCTCAACAATACGTGCCCTGGGGCGTTATTTCGAATAAATACGGTATGTTAAAATCCCAGTAAATGCCAAGTAAGAAGCAAATAGGTCTATTGAAATGCTTACCTAGGCTTACGCCAGTCAATGCCGAGCAAGTCGCTCTTGTTGCGTTGCGTTTGTCGAAATTCCTTATTATTAAATCGATAATAGTAACATAAGTAAGGCTAAGGCCAAGTCCATAAAACACACCGTATGTGATGTATAAAATCGAAATTTGTTGCGCAAATGATGATGTTAAAAGACCTAGACAACATAGCGTCACGCCAATGAATACTGTCGCTCGATGGCCAAGTTTCTGGAAAAAGAATGTCACGACAACAGAGCACCAACTGAATAGTGAGATTGAGATAGCACCAGGCACACCTGTGGAAATAATCGCAGAAAGTCAACAACACTGTCACTACTACTAATAGTGCTATGCACTTCCGCTGCTACTGATGCTAATGCTAATAATGCATGCTACTGCTAATAATGCTGCTACTGATGCTTGTGGTGCTACTGCTTCTACTACAGTTCCTGCTACTGCTATTGTTGTTGTTGCTGCTACCACTACTGCTACTGATGCTACTGCTACTACTACTACCACCACTTTTGCTACTATTACTACTATACTACTACTATATTACTACCACTACTACTACTACCACCACCGCTACCACCGCCGCTACCACCGCCACCACCACCACCACCACCATCCCACCATTATATTAAATAACATATATGCTTATATAACGATAAAGATGGGAAAACAGGAACCAATCATTTCATGCTCATATGAAACTTCAAACCAATCATCAAAACTATGGATAAAAGTAACAGTGGAATAATTCTTCAAGACTACAAATGTATAATATACATTTGTATACATAGGCCTATATATTTAAAAGTCTTAAACAACATTTAGTGTAGAACTTCCCTTTTAACATTGTTTTTTCTATGACATTGGTCTACTACAGAATTTGGCCTATAATCATAAACCCTGTTTAATTTCCAATAATTATTAACTTCCAGTCATCAAGATCATTACAATAATTAATATTGAAAGAAGGTTTGATATCATAGTTAAGCACGTCAATTGCTACTCTAAGTTTTTACTTGTACAGTATAATATGATTAAATAAATGATAAATTACAGAACCGATAATTCTATGGAGAAAATTGTATCGTTTTATACTTTTGCAATGGTTTTAAAAGGAAAACATTATCGTACAGATTTTGAGCTTTTCGCGATCAAGGGCGCGCGGACTATAAAGGGGCTTTACACTTGTTGATTTGTCTATCGATTCAAATGGCCGAGAGGTTAAGGCAGGGGTGCCGCAACCTACAGCAATATCGGCGCTGGTTCGAACGGCACACTCGCCTATGGTTCTGGTGGTAGAACAAGTTTTCTCGGATAGGCTGATGGATTGGCTCGTATGCACTATAAAAAATCCAGTACACCATTCGAGACGAGTAGGGGGATACCGTAGGGGGATACTCCGGTGTACTGCGGGTACAGTGGTAAACGACGAGAGTTGCAGGTACCGTGTTACCGGGTAGCACAGATACGAAGGGACCCTTCGGGACGAACAAAGTCATTGATCGAGTTACTAGTCTACATATCAAGAGCTATGAGCATCTTCTTTTATGGATACTAGCGCTATGCAAATTTACACTATTATTATATTATTTTTAGGAAAAACTCCGAATTATCATGCTGAATCTATCTCTTTAATATTCAGCATGATAATTACCTATATACATATAGTCTACAAGAGTATTTGGTTCATTTCTGTTTTGTTTTTTGTTAACTGATGATGGGTTGAAGGTAACCCGAAACATGTCTGCCATTAAATCGTTTGTGTTATTTTTAAAATGCGTTGTATTTTTTGTCAACTTACGTCCATTTGGTTCTATTATCAAGGATTCAGTTCAAGAAGATTACCAGTTTCTTTATTAAGGAAATATGAAAAGATTACTCTTCGTTTGAACAAAGCCGAATTGGATTTTAATTTTTTACATTATTATATTATTATAATAAGTATTATAAGTATATAACTAATATTACAAAATCGCAGACTTTATCAAAAGAATATTTATTAGTGTTGGGTATTGTTATATCTAAATACCTTATTTTTTTTTATAGTTTCATGCTATTGTTCGCAATAAATGGGAGCGCAATCAACCATTTATTGACCGTTTTCTTTGACAACCAATATGGCAAAAGTTTAACCCAGATATAACGTTTACCAGGGAACAGTGAAACTGTTCTTTGCCTGTGTAAACACAAAAAATACCAGCATTTTGCAGGCCCCCAGGAAACACAAAACGTTCTTATAACGTTCGCGAACGTTGTGGTTTCATGTCACAAAATAACATTCACACAGCATTGTAGGAACTTTCAAACGTTATGATGACGTTGTGAAATTAGGTTGTAAGTACGTACATCTGGTTCTACAAAATGACGTTTTTATCACCAAACTCTAACGTTATTATAACGTTTTTATAAAGTGATATTGCTAGCTGGGCCACTTTGGAAAGGGACATGCCATTCACATTGTATTAAAATCGATTAGTGTTGATATTGTTACGCATATTGTCAATGTTTCCATAGTTCTGTACTAGGTTAAGGGTACAATAGTTGCTGTTCTATATTATGTCATTTGTGTATGTGATTTTGTCAATGATAATATTTTAAACTATGAACAAACAACCGCAATTTCAAACTGTGTATTTTTACCGTGTTCGAAAATACAGATTAAATTGAATTGAATTGAATTGGCAGGACAAAGTTTTGTAGTAATTCATTATAGAGAGCGATACCTCTATATAGCTAAATCGATGTGCGAAGCATGATAGGCTAATAATTAGCATTTAACAGTTAACACGGGTTTAAATCTAAAACATGGTTAATATGAATAAATTTTATTTATTTATTTAGATCCTTTTTTTCAATACAAGGTCTAAAGAGCATTCATAACGGTCTAAATCGATCGAACAATAAGATTATATTCAATGAAAGCTTACCTGTCTCCGTTGCAGTAGAATTAAATGATTTCCTAAGCTCAAGATAAAGTAAGTTGTAGCTGAAAATAAAACCACCGAAAAACAGACAGTGAATCATTGCAGCGAATATTATTACGAGCGACCAGTGTTTCTTGATGAAACTGATGGGTCCATTCAGACAGCACACCATGTTACTTTTTTACCACAACAATATTTCATATCCAAACTTCTCATATGGGGCTACTTTCTCTTTCTGTAAACAATAAACTGGTATGCATATAGTTCGACGACTTAACGCCCTCAAGCCTTGTAAAAAAATGTTGACCTTACTATACACTCTTATTCTTCCTGTAATTACAGACCATGTAAAATATTGTTGCATCAATTTACGTACTTACCATTTGCAGTGGTGGTTAATAATTAACTTCCCTACTTGAATCCAACACTGGTATTATTATCCATTTGTATACATATATATATATACATATACATACATAGGGCCTATATATAGGCCTATGTAGGCAAAACTATATAACTATAATATATATATATATACATATATATACATATATATATACATATACATACATACACATACATACATATATATATACATATACATACATATATACATATACATACATACACATATATATACATACATACACATACATATATACATACACACACATACACACATGCATACATATACACATGTACATACATATACATACACACATATACACACATATACATACATACATATATACACACATACACACATATATACATACATATATACATACATACATATATATACACATACATATATATACACATACATATATATACATACATATACATATATACATATATATTTATATAACATAAATCAAGGTAGCCGTTAACACTGTTAAATCATATATAAATCATCAAAGAAAGGTAAATACAGTGTTTGAATAAAGGACTTAATAAATACATCGTGTAGCATAGCTCTCAACGAATGTATGTCCTATAAATAAATGAATAAAGAAATTGTGTAATAAAATGCCTCTGGCGGGACTCGAACCTGCGACCTCTCGCTGTCAAGGCGAGTGTCATAACCACTAGACCACGGAGGCTTCATGGTTGAACAGATTCAAATACCACACCAGATACACTCTATTACACACAATAGGTACGGCTAGAAACAAATACGTGCATATAACATAAATCAAGGTAGCCGTTAACACTGCTAAATCATATATAAATCATCAAAGAAAGGTAAATACAGTGTTAGA